TATATAGGAAGATTTACATACATACCATGCAATTCCTATGTATTTACATATGAACTACCTAAGCTTTAATTTTGACATACCACCTTCACTAAACATGAAATATTTGGGTGGTAAAAATGTAAAGAATAAAATTTAGGTATTAAATAAGTAAATCCAAAGGAATGGAGGGATATATATGAAATAACTTTTTTGAAGTTGGAAATTAGTATACTTATAAATCTCCTAATTGAAAATAAAAATTTCTACTAATTCATTAACAAGCTTTGGATGAAGGAAAAATTTTCTCATTTTAATCAATTATTGCCATTATTTATGACCCAGTTGTTTTATCACATCACCTCATTGGACTAAATCTTTTAAGTTTCTTAAGTTCTTTCTTTTGTTTTTTATTTTATTTTATTTTTTGCGTTTTAATGGAGTGGTGAATATTATTTGGAATATTACATACATACCACTTCATTTATATGTATTTGCATGTCTAACATCTAAGCTTCAATTTTTACATACATGCCATCTTACCTATGCAACTATGAATGAAAGGTGGGTATCATGTTTTTAAAAGCTAAAATAGTGGTACTTTTGATATGATATGAGAGATTCCAATATAAAATTATATATATATAAGTAAAGTTTGGGGGCAAGATATGTAAATACATAGGAATTAGGTGGCATGTATGCAAATCCCCTTTTTTTTTGGGTTTTATAACAAGCAGAACACAATTCACAGAAATATCAACTGATTTTCACATTAATCTGATAAGTCAAAGATGGCGTATTTCCTCAATTTTCCATTTCGATTGGATGGGATGGTCAAATTCGCACCATATTGACTGTGATGAACTTGGCTTCTACGGTCGGGCAGCAACGAACCTGAATCAAAGTTACTAATGCTTTCTTTTAGCCTTTTTGTGAGAAAAAATGGTGTGACTCAAACCAACCTCCCTCTTTTGTTTTATTCATTTCTCCTTTTTGTATTTTGCACTCTGAAACCTTCCTCTATGATTGCGTAATTTTTAATTTTTAATTTTTTTATTTTTGGTTGTCTGGAGTAGGGTTTGAAATTATTTCTATTTGAAATTGACTCGTGTTTGAAATTGTTCGTGAATGGTGTGTTAGTGTTCGGCTCTATTTACATAATTTTGTCTGTGTTCAACTCGAAATTAACTCGTGTAAATTAATAGGGCATTGGATTCGAAATTGTACCATACATGAGCACACAAACTAAGTGATTTAACCTTATATATATATGTATAGCCCCCACAGACACCAGCAACCACCCTCTCCTCCAATCAGCCACCGATGGTAGCCTCACACCTTTTAAAGAACACAATAAAAAATAAATAAAAAGAGGCACCCAAATCTATTTTCTATTTTCACGAACACCTTGCCAGTTGCCTTGTCACTGGGTGACCGTTCACCGGCCGACCACATATCCCTCCGGTCGGCTACCTCACCGCTCCGGCCGACCAATTCCTAGAAAACAATAAGGTTTACATAATAACCACCTTGCCAGCTGCCTCGACGTCAATCGCCTCGCTTCCGGCCGACCATGTCTTCTTCCGGCAAGGGCTGCTCCAACCTTCCATCATGGCCGGCTAATTCCTAAAAAAACAGTTTTACAAAACAGTCACCTTGCCAGCCGGCTACTTTAGCTGCCAATCGGACCGACCATATCCCAAATCTAAAAATTCACATACATACTGCTAAATTCTTATATATGAAGGTATTCATGTGCATCCCCCAATCCTTTTTACATATATAACACCTAAACTATAATATTTCCTTAGCCACCCGACCAATAATCCACAAACGAGAATGAACTCAGAAGGACCAGTTCAAGCCGGAAAAAAATATGGAGTACCCCTTTTTGAACCCCTTTATAACAAGGACGAATATGTAATTTCCTCTTTTCTTATTTTTTCTATAAATGGAGGACCACATAAAGGGTTTCCCTTTAGGCTCTCAGGCACGACCCACAGAACAAATTTGGATTTAATAACATAATTTTCTTATTTCTCATTAAAATGGTCCGAATATGATCGCCCAAAGGGTTGTTTGTGCTTGACTCATTTATAATTTAATCTTAAAAAATTATTCAGGTTCAGCTTGTTCACTTAATAAATTATTCAAACATGAGTTACTAAGCGAGCGTAAGTGATACTGAAGAAACGTAGGTACCTACGTACGTACGTACGTACGTACCTACCTACCTACATACCTACATACCTACATACATACCTACATACCTACGTACATACATACCACCTACGTACGTACATACGTACGCACGTACGTACATACGTACATACATACATACGTACGTACATACGTACATACATACGTACATACGTACATACATACGTACATACGTACATACATACGTACATACGTACATACATACGTACATACGTACATACATACGTACATACGTACATACATACGTACATACGTACATACATACGTACATACGTGCATGCATACATACATACATACATACATACATACATACACACACACAAACATACATACATACATACATACATACATACATACATACGTACATACATATATTACATATATATATATATAACCATCAGGCTGAAAAACTCTTGTTCTCCCTCTCCTACGGAGCTTTTTCTTTAGCTCCACGTGTGGCCCAATATATAAATCTGGAAGTAAGTCAATTGCCGAGAAATAGAACATTTCAAACAGCGCATGAGAGTAACAGTATTAGAAACATAATGTAATAAGACTTTTATCTCCTTGACTAATCAACCTAAAAGAAATATAGTTTACAGTACCTGTCCATAATGCACCAAGTCAAAAGGATTTGACAGTTTAAAACAAGCTTGCAATCAAATATAAGCATAACTTCAATATAATTATTTCATTCATTTTCAATTATTGTTTTATTTTAGATCTTTGACCAAGTTTAGACAGCATGATAGAGTTGCAGTCATGATCCCATAACATCGATAAAGTCATTGGCAATTACGGCCTTGATGGTCTTCCCATGATATAATCGATTACCTAGTGTCAAGTTATATTGTGTATCAGAGGGGGCTTTTCATTGTCTCCAACTTTCACTTCTCAAATTATATTAGAATTTAACATCCAAGGGTGCAAAAACAAATGTTAAATGAAACATATTTAGATAGATGGTGATAATTGTCAGTAAACAATAAAATATACTAGCATTTACACAGCACACAGTTCTTATGTGTTTATATATCTTACACTTGAACTTTCGTATTTACACATAGTAATCATATCTTTAATATGACAGAAAGAGTAGCACATATTACTTTTTAAAAGTGAAATACGCCTTTTGATGCATAGGTTTAAAGCGCCATAGTTCTATGTATGTAAATGTGTAAGTATAGATGTGAGATAGGTAAATTCATAAGAATTCTGTACTAGGTATGTACATTTCCTAAATTTTAACCTATTCATATTCAATGTAAATAATTCTAATATCATGAATATACCAAGAAGAGTTGTGAAGCGTAGGCTAAGAGCTCTACCACTTACTTAAAAGCACGAAGGATTGCTGAAGTTATTGATTCTTAACTCCCAAATATTGCAATTGACGACATACTAAAGGAGTGAATGAAGGCTAATGTTCTACAAAATATATGGTCAACTTAGGTTAAGTTAATTCTAATACATATTGATAATTTCTACTCCAACCTATTTGGCATATAGGAACAACTAAATATTCATTTAAATATCAATAGAAGAAGAAAAAATGCTCAATATTTACAATAATTCAGACAATCCATGAAACTAATTATGAAGCTCAATATTTACAAATAATCAAGTTAATTTAAGGGAAGATTTTTTAGAATCCATTTCAACAAGCTGAAATATACTTATTAATTTAAGGGAAGATTTTCTTAGAACCCATTGCAACTCACTAGCTATCATGTTGTTCCAGGAAAAAAGCATAGCAAACTTCTTACAATAGCCCAAGATATTGGACTACATAATTACAATAATTCAGACAATCCATGAAACTAATTATGAGAACTATGCTTCTTCAAAGTTCATGGCATCCTTAGTACAAAATTCATACTAACAACTTCTGAATGTGTAAAAGAATTAGGTAAGGGATTGTGTAATGCAATATCATCTTTTCGCTTAGCTATTTAGGAAGTCATGCATTATGATTCTAATCATATTACATCACCTCTTAAACTTGACCAATAATATATAACTTTTGTCATAGTTATAGCATTACCCCGACTAAATTGACCTGCATCATCGCTAGCTTTTGTGCTAAAATAAGAAAGGCCCGCCTTCTCAACCACAGAAAATATGGATGGGAAACTCATGGAGAAAAATTTACATAGATAAAACTAGATCCAACTCAAAGCAAACAATTTAAAACATAGCAATGGATAACTCAAATAGCATAATCCAATGATTTCAACTCATGACCAATCTCTTAATCACAGAATACATGCCCTTCACGCCCTTCATAGATCAAATAAATCAAACAATAGAAGACTGACGTAGTTACAAGAATGCACGCAAGTAAAAAAGGAAATTTATATACATAGCACACAAATCTTATGTATTTACATAACTCATACCTAAACTTTTATGTTTACATACATAATATTTTGGTGCTTTAAATCTATGCATGAAAAAGTGTATTTCACTTTTAAAAAGTGATAATAGTGCTATTTTAATGTGATTGTAAAGATTTGAGTACTATGTAAATATAAAAGTTTGGATGTGAGAGATGTAAATGCATAAGAATTGTGTGTTATGTATGTAAATGCCCCAAGTAAAAAATATTGAAACTCGCATCATATATAATGTTAA